CACACTACACATACACACATGCAAACAAACAAACAATAAAAAAATAGAAGCATTTTCAAACCAATAAATGAGAGGTTTGGTAGATTCACAACATTTATTTATGATCCACCAAGCCCCATTTGTAAGTCATTTTATTATCATTATCATTTATTATTATTTATCACTGCCATCTACCATTATTATTTATCCTATTTAAATTGACTATTCTGCAATTTCACTTCGCTAGATTTCTTTACACATCGGAAGACGCCTGCTGTTTGTTTGAGTCCGTTCTTCGAAGCCTCCCTTACCCACATTTTAGGTGACAATTGTTGTTGTTCCCGTGAAGTAGGGCTAGAAATTGTTACAGGCATTGAAGGAAAGGTTGCTGGCCTTGAAAACCTTCAACTACGCATATCAACTTCGTGAAATTCCAAAAGCCTGGTACTTTGCTATCGCTAAAGAGTTCCCTCAAGCGGCACTTGACAGCTTCCTACCTTGACCTAAGGTTCCCTCATATTTGCTATAAAAGTGGTGACGTCAGCGTAGATAGATCCGCTTATAGCTAAAGAAAATGTTCATGACATCCCGGTTTGCAGGGGTCGGATCGTATGGGATGTGGGACCTTATACCAGAACAGCGTGCCGCCTCCAACGTACCTTCCGCATGTCATGCAGGGACCAGTGAAAGGATAAAATCTGATTTTACATGGATGGTTAAGGTGGTCACCTCGAAACCACTGCCGCTTCTGTGCCTCGGATCGTGGGGAGTCAGACACAAGGTCCACCATCTGGTTGTATGGAGTTCGGGTGGATGTGCTGGTCCCGCCAACCATGTCTTTCCCAGAAGGTTTTGGGGTTTCCTTTTCTTCCATATAGCACCTTTACAGGAATTTTCGTTTATCAGATGCCTCTATCTACTCATACCAAGCAACATCGGCTTTGAGTTCAGAAGGGTTTTTCTAGGTCACGCCGTTACTTTCCTCCTCTTCACAATCGGATGCACGGTTTTCTCGCAGGGGCATCATTCGGCCTTCTTGGCAGATGTTAATACCATCGTAGGCTCTGCGTCTCGGCGTCTCAAATACCATCTGTATTTGCACAAGTTGCCTGCATGGCCCCAATGTCGGCGCTCTTGAAGACTATCGACTGGTATAGTCGTGCCCAATCACAAGCCCATTTTGTTTCCTCATCTCAGCAAATTGATCCTGCTTTGTACGATTCCTGTCTACTAAAAATGCCGTACAACATCGCAGGGCTCATCTCCTACAAAGTAACACTTTCCGCTTCATTACCATGGGGTACCGTCGATCGCATGAGACAGAAATGAACCTCTTCACATCCTCCGTTTCGCTCCGCAATAATACCAGAGCCTAATCTCTTACACATCCTATCATTACTCAACTTTTCATATCGCTCTTTTCCTTTACTCTATCAGGGTGAAGTCGCCAGAGCACTGGACAACCATGAGACCTTTTGTGATGACATCAGGTATCAAAAGAAGTTAAGTGGGCTCGAAGTTGTTCCTCGCTGTAACTAATCCTTCTCTAAGTACTTCTCTGGAACATGTCTAGTAATAAGGATGGAACCACTACAGACCTTGCAGAGACGGGATTGGAGTCCTCATGTGAGGAAGAGTTCGTTGAATTTGAACGTCGATTGAGACCCATGCAAATTCATGGTCAATCATACAGCCCATTAATTTTACGGGATCCAGAACACTTCACCGCTCCCTCCCGTCTGTTTAGAGATAGACGCATCCGATACATCCATTAATTCAATGTTCAGGAGCTAGGTAATCCATCTCATTCTGTATTCTGCGAGAGCATAGCATCCCTCAATTGGTGCACCATCTGGACCACTGACCTTGACGAATTCCGTATTCATCTCTTCTCATTCACTACTGCTCATCCTCAGCCGAAAGTTTGATGAAGCAAGCCATAACCTCTATGTATGAGCTGACCTTCGCAGGAAGATTACTCATTAAGAAGCCCAATATAGTACCCTCCTCCACTGCGCTTGACCTCAGTTGGCTTTTCCGACGGCACCCCGCTGTTCTCAAGAGCCTTCGTAACACCCTGGTGTTTAAGGTAGCCAGATGTCCGGCCTTGGCTGGTATACGGTTATTCCAGACATCACGGCGTTGAGACCTTGTGGAAGCCGACCTTGTTCTTTCTCGACTATCGTGGTTCTATTTTGAACTGCCTAGTTCTTTTTCCTTGCCTTCTTTGTTATGGCTACTTTTATAGTTAGCTAGGCCTTCTGAAGTTTGTAATTCTCCCAGCGATTATGNTACGGTTATTCCAGACATCACGGCGTTGAGACCTTGTGGAAGCCGACCTTGTTCTTTCTCAACTATCGTGGTTCGATTTTGAACTGCCTAGTTCTTTTTCCTTGCCTTCTTTGTTATGGCTATTTTTATAGTTAGCTAGGCCTTCTGAAGTTTGTAATTCTCCCAGCGATTATGCAGACTCTTCTGCTCCGACGTGTTGCACTTTATTACTCGAGAATCCTTGCATTGTTTCTTCTGGACCTACCAAAACACCTCCCTTCACCCAGCGGTTCTTTTGAGGAGGGAGCTCGAGGGGCTACTTCTCCTCCTAACGTAATCAATGTTTCTGGGCTTCATGAAATCAACAGCCCCTCGGAATTCCTCATTCAATGATCCAATGCTCACTGATCCACTTGGAATTTACTTCTTTGTACGAGCCACTCGTCCTCATAGGTCGGCTTCATATAGCCCTCATGCACTGACCGACCCAGAACTCACACGAGGCTACCTAACGATGAAGATCGACTTCTAGTGTGGACCTTTCGAACCTCAGGCCAAGCGGCTCAGTGAGATCCGAACAAGTCAGCTCAGAATCAGCTCTGAGTCAGCTCTGAGTCAGTTAATCCTCTACACCGTTTTGCGGCATGCATGGTCTCTTAATCACATAGTAATTAGGACACTTCACCATGCCCCCTTCTGTCTGAGAACGTAATCGATAGTACCGCTACTCCATCTACTCTTCATCTTTCTTGCGCAGATACGGTGTTCAGAAAGAGGATGAGCCCGTGCTCTCAAGCACCCTTCACACCTTCACCCCTTAAATTATATCCATCTGGTCTGCTCGCATCCAATTAGCCGGCAGATCTCATTATATTCCCGAACTCGGTTTGGACAGCTGTTGTTCCTGTTAAGGTTTCTTCTCATCCTATCTAGATTTCGGCTGGATTTCTTAGGATGACACCGTCAATGTTCCCAACAGTCTCTGCTGTGCTTTCGTCTAATGGTAAGCTCGATGGTGCTTTGGCCACTTGGAGGATGTTTTTTTCGTCCTTTGTCCCTCCCTTTCTTTTACCACGAAATCCATTACCGAAGGCTTTGCACTGGCTTTGGTCAGGCATTTTGTAATGTGTTCAAGCTATCGCCTCTGCGAAGCTTTTATCATGCATACCCAAGTATACGTCCGGTTAGAGGTTCTATTGACTGATTGTCCCTGTGTTGTTGAGGTCCCCAAACATTCTTTCCTGGAGTTTCCACCACTGAATTGAACGCTCGGTTCCTGGCCTGTTCCCCAGTGAGTTTGGCAAAGCATACCAGAAGAGGTTCTGCTGGCTCCTCTTGTTAGCAGCACTTGGGTGCTATTCATAAGGCGTAGGTGGTGTAGTGGCAAGTGGTCACGCACACGCATCGTCCCGTGTTCGGATCCCGACTCAATATAATATAAGTTAACCAGGCCTTCCATCCCTCCGGAGTCTGTTAGTTGGTACCAGACTCGCCTGGGAAGATAAAAGCACTGACTTGTACATCGGTTGGCCACCGCAGATAATTGTCTAGGCCACATGCGCACTCATTACGCCACCACGATTCTGAATGGAAGTTGAATGCGTGGGTGCATTCCTGAAACGGGAATAAATATGTGACGGGTGAGAATCTGCGTATTAAGATAGGGCTAAGCCGTGCCGGATTACTGTAAGAGCCGTGTGCCCGTACTGAATTTTCGTTTTTGCCCTCAAGACTTTACTCTTTAAGATATTGGTTCCTCATAATTAAAGGCTGATCACGTTATCTCTCCATGGGAAGGGCATTTTACCTCCAAATCTACTGATAACCCTATCTTCCGGGCTGAACCTCAACCGAAATCATTATCGTTGGTCTTCAGACAGGATAACCCTATTTCTTTTACAAACGCGGCTGGCAAAAGTTGTTTAGAAAACCAGACGTGAGGGTACTGTAAATGTGGGACGCAATTGCACTTTTTACGTAATTCTGTCGGAAGCAGCTGCGTCGGCGCCGCGGCCTTGAATCCGCGCATTGCGCACGCTCAAAAGCGGTTATGTGCGGTCTTGGCGAAGCGCCAAGGAACGCGTTTAAGACGCATGGCAGGTGTCGTGCCAGGTGGTGGCTAACGCCATTACAATAACTGGATTTATCCCTAAACCCTCTCCCGTGATTCTGAAGAGCAAAGGAGTTGTGAGGTTCCTCAAAAAATCACTTCTTAGCTTCTTTAGTTCTAACATCCAACGGGTCTCCTTCATCGTCGAATGACTCTGATTTTCATACTTGAGTAACCTCTAAAGATACCAGATGTATTTGAGTGGTGTTCCAACCACTGCAGCACGTCTCAAATCAAGTCGCAGTTTTCCAGTAATAAAGGTCGATCGAGCTTTACTTCACTTTTACGTCGTAATCTTATCCGCCCAAGTTATTGTACTTTCAAGATTTCTATTGTCAAGTCTGCTCAATTTACTGAAGTTTATTTATGGAGTGTTGTTGTTATTCGTAACTTTTCTTTCTTCGGTGGTCATGGTATTTTCCTCACCTATATCATAGCATACAACACGTCCGTCAACAAACAACTATACCTGTTCGCGTAGCAAAGGAAGGAGGTTGCCTCAATTGGTCGCCTTGTTCTGAATTGCCTCATTCGAGCAAAACGCTGTTGTCGTTCGATCTTGTTGTAAATTTCGTAGTAGTTAACCTTAACGTGTGTGGTATTTATTTCTGTTATACAAGCACTGGTTGTTATTTCAGGAATGCGCCGGAAAAACAAGTCGAGGAAAGCCCGACGAACTGGTACACCTGTAGGAGAAGAGGAAGTTAGTGAGGCACTTTTCCGTTTGTTTTTTTTTGTGTTTTTGAGCTTTTTATATATGTGAGTTATTTTATTTCTGTGGTACAGCTGAATCTCTGTGGAAATCTGTTCAAACGTTTTGGAAGGCTGTCCTGTGTGTCCCGCGTTTCGAGCGAGTTAAATTTTGCCGTCTCCCAGCGTTACCAATTAGTATGATTTGCTAAATGCTCGATTTGGTTTTAGTTTTTATTAATACTGTAACAGAGTTGCGACCAGAGCCGTCTAATCAAAGAATTCCAATTACTTTTGACGTTGACATTTTGTTTTAACGAGTGATGTGCTTAGTCCCATTCGTTTTTGTCCGTAAGGCGGCAGGAGTTTGAAGGCAAGTCGCAAACTCTCTTGGGAACAGGACATGGGGAAATAGGGGAAAAGAACATAAATATGGGTGAGGCATTATATTCAGAAGTTCAAAGTTACACTTGAACTTCTGGTTATTTGCTATTGTGTTGTTACTTTCAGAAGCAACTTTTCAGCATCACTGTTCTTGAACATTAAATGTGTATTTCCTTTTCAGCTATACTCTGATTGTGATGTCACGGAAGAAGTTTATGAGGTGCGTTTCGAGTTATCTGCTCTGCCGTCACGTCCATTTTTTGAGAACACGAAATGGCTACATGCCATGGTTGATAGTGCGAGTATTGATTGTAAGACAAATTGTTTGAGGTCGAATGTATTGTTGATCATCGATGCCGTCGTGGTGGCACAGAATACAAGGTTCGGTGGCGAGGATGGTCTCCTCAGTTTGACGAGTGGTTGCATTACTCAAAAATGGTAAGTTTTCAGCAAGATTTTGAGGTACTTGCGTAATTCTATTTTTAAAGGATTGTCCGGAAGCAATAAAGGAATACTGGGAACAGGTCGAAGCACGAAAATCAAAAGAACCAGGTTCCTCGAAGAAACGTGATCATAGCGATACACATAGTGTGAAGTCCAATTCTTCTCGGAGAAGTGTAAGATGCAATTTTTTTCATTCGAGCCCAAGCGAATTCACATTTATTCGTATGGTTTTAGACCTCACCTCCTGAAGCTAAACGACGACTTTTTGATAACACTGATCTTCAAGGTATGATCTCACCTGTTTTCTGATTCGAAAGGTACAACTTCAGTTCACTGTATAACTTGTTAGTGGCCTTGCCGCTTGATCGAATATCTGTGTTGATGTAATGTTAGTAAATCGGAGTCGATATTTTTTGCTCTGAAATTTTCTGAACTTCATTCAAGTATCAGATTGTTATATACCTGTGAGGGTTAGCTGAGGGAACCTTGACCTTAGAAATCATACATTAATCAGTTTGTGGACGTATTCCATCATCAAAACAGAAATTTTCCGGAGATTAACTAAGTAGGAATAACGTTTCTACTGAAAGAAACATCAAGCTATCCGCATCACAACATCCGCAAGTGTTAGTGATTCAAGATCGAAGATAAACGGTAGCAGGTGAAGGATATATGGATAGGATGCTCTCCAGTGCCATAAAAATCGATGGGATGATATCCACCAAAGGGATCAATCATGAAGGATGATGGTATACTCTTGACATTCAATGAGCGCCACTTGGAAACGATTTAAACGAAAAAGTTCTCAATCTTGGTGGCACCACCTTAGCTCAAATTCTTATGGTAATAATGATGATATTAGGTGTTTATTTTTAGCAAAACTGCCACATGAGAGGGCACATTGTCTCATTGCTGCAGAATCGATCCACGTTTTGAAAGAAATAGATGACTCAGTTCATATTTGTTGGATTCATAACTAGAAGCTCTATTAATAAGTATGTTAAAGAGTTCTGCATTTTCAGGCGGTAGCCAGGATTCTGGATCTGTATCACCAACGATAAGTGAGTGTTTGGGACGTGCATCTCCTAAACAGTATGGGCAAGGGGAAACTCTCGAAGACCGGCAATCTGTTGAAAAGGGTGCTACGAATAGTAAGGTATGCGAAGATTGTAGCCCTCTGTACACTTTCAAATAGTGAAGAACCTTCTCACCTCTGAAAGGTAGTCGGTGCATGTCGAATAGCTTCCAATACTTTATTGAATTCCGCTACTTTTGATTTTTTTTCTCCTTTTTCTACAAGGTTTCGTTTCAAGGAATTATCGTCAATTACATTCGCTATCTTATCAGAACCACGAGAATACTTTGCTTTTCAAAAAGCTTCACCAACACGCAATTGTGTTGAAGTTTCTACCATTTGCTCATAGACAGAATGGCACGTGTTGAACAGTCTCTGTCCTTGTGATAACCAAGTAAATTTAGAGTGCTAGCGTTGAACCAAATGAGCGGGTCGATTCTGTTGCCCAGGAAGGTGTGGAACTTGACGCACAGCCTCAGCCTGCTCAAGGTGTGACCACAACTTCTCTTCAAAAAGAAATCCCATCCACGGATGTTTCGGCACGCTCATCTCCATGTCCATCGCTGCAACAATCTGTGCGCAAGTCGGTGAGTCATAGCAAGTTGTAATTTATTTATTTATGTATTTAATAATGCCAATCAACGCGTCCTTAATATTTCTATTCATCTTCTAGACGACGCCGCCATACATAAAACGATTACGTTATGGTAGTGTTCTCGGAAAGAAAGCTTACTAAGCTATGTCCTAGCTTACTAAGCTTACTAAGACATCTCCACGTGCGGCTCTCGATGAACCTCGGCATATTTTCGAAAATCT